GAATGCAAGTCAGCAAATGAGATGACATGGCCTATCACCCGTGACCTGTCTCGAAAGGGTTAAAGGATATTGAATGAATCTTGAAACACTTGAGTTTTCTTGAGAATCTCTGCTAGTCTATAGTATATGTGTTTGAAAACAAATACAACAAAATATACTATCTTTTGAATTGAATATATTACATTTCTCATGTACATGTATTGGACATTAAAATAATTTGTTGTAAAAATAAAATCATATTAATTTCTTTAAGTGAATTTACATCCTCATTTTAAAAGCATCAATGGATCATAATACCTAGTGAGCCATTCCAAATTTATTAGGGCTGTAACAAAGGGTAGATTTTGACCTTCAAAGATTTCTAACACACCACCAAACAAAGTTTCAATAACACTAAGTTGCTTAAGTGATGATGTCACCATAACCTCTAGCTTATGTTTGATTGACAACTATTATTTTACATATAATCTATATAAATGAAATAAAATATTCACATGTAATTAAAAAAATTGTAATGTAGAATAGTAACCATGTTTTTGTACTAAAAAAATACATGTTTATGTTCACACATTTCTACATACATTGAGCTTTCAAGAGCATCATCTTGCAGCCAATTAAAAGAGCTTATGCTGACTTAAGCAAACATATTTGTATTTAACAGTCACCATGTCAAGCAGGTTAACATTCAGTGATTTTTAAATATAACTGTTGATTAATTAAACATAATGAATAAAAAACACAACAGAATAGGGCAACAGTTAGAAAACAGATACAGAATTTCAACCATAATAAAAAGTTACAAGATTGAGTTATTATCGGTCACATTTTTTGAAACATCTTGGAGATGATAATGTTAAAAGTTACACTGATGATCCTTTTTAATCATTAAAATTATTAGTGTTAACATATTTTTATGTCATACTTTCTTGTCTTGTACACTAGGGATTCAGTACATTTTATTGAAGCAGTTCAACCTCTAAACATACTCCCCACCACCACCAGCTTGCTCCCACACATGAAATGAACTGCTAGATATAACATTTTGTTTAAGTAACAGGTATTATACAAATCAAACAATTGAATTTTACACATGTGTGATATATTGTGCTAACCTTCATCTACAGTTATTTGTGCTGTAAAACTATGTAGGCTCTTGAACACATTTATGCTTAACATTATGTACATTTAAAGGAATTTTTTGATTTGACTTTAGAAAACAAAGTCCTATCAGTTTTTACCTACAGAATTCAAATATATGTACCACTTAATTCTATGCCAGTACATGTTTTTATTGAAGTATTGGAATTATTTTTATGGCTACATGTTTATTATCAATCTCTCTTCTGGTGTTCAATTTTTGCTTGTTGAATATTTGAATTATTTCTAAGACTACATGTTTTATTATTAAATAAATAATAAAACATGTAGCCTTAAAAACATCTTTTCCTGCAGTAAATTTTCCTTGTTAAATTATTATAATTATATTTAAGGGTACATGTTCATTGTCTATCTTTTTTTCCTAAGGATACACCCAAGATGAAATCTTTTAACATTGGGATGATAGGGAAAAAGGCCTTATCTAAAAAAGCACAGGAGAAGCAAAAAAAAGAGGTACGATGGTATATTTGTTTGAACTGTGTGTAATTTTTTATGATTGTTCGGCTCATGCACATGAAGTATATGTATTCTAAAACATTTAATATGATAAATGTTTTGTATATTGTTGCAGATTATGCTATAAATTGGTATTGATAATTGGTATTTTGTAACAAATTTTTGTATAATTTTAAAAATTAAGGATATGGAAAAGAGGATTTATATTTTTTACAATATTGTTTTTGGATAGAGAATTTTTAATTATTAAAGTTAAAAAAAACTTTCACATACCTAATGAAATGCATATTATCTGTAACAGTGAACACTGAGACATGCTTTATGGTTGAAGCACCATTTGTGGCATACTTAATCTGATGACCATCATCTTTAGTAATGGTTATCTAAATCAGTAGAGTAGGTTTGCCCAAGATTTGACATTCATGCTCCTCACAATACATGTAGCTAATACATGTTTTGAAAACTATGCCATTTTAAGTTTTTGTCTTTTCATTGACAGGTTAATAGCCTGAAGATTTGGTTCACTTTTTGCAATGTGATGTTTCCTCACAATGAACTCTATGAACTTTTTTCTACATCCATTGTCAAATTTGAAATAAAATGTAGCGTCTGATTGAAAATTGTTAGCTTAGTTACAAGTGGCTTTTAGATTTTTTTCTATAAAACAAAATCCTTATGAGGGAGTGTAGTCTATAAATTAGTTTTTGACTTAGTAATTTAGATACTTTTCTTTTTACAGATATAAAATAAACTGTTTTTTTGAAGTCATGTACAATTATACTTATTGTTTTTACTTTTATCCTGAATCATTTTTCAAATTTTATACACTAAAAATCTTACTTGTTCTAAAAGGTAAACTTTGTGTTTTGTGTACAATAGGAAGAAGAAAAGGCAGCAGCAGAGGTTTATGAAGAATTTGTTGCAGCTTTTGAAACGCCAGCAAAGCAAGGGAAATTATTTGTTCGTGGTGCTGTAATCAATCCTGGATCAGGGGGTGAGTTTAAGGAATGGTAATATTAGATAATGTAAGTAGTGACTGTCTGCCATAGAGTGCTTTTGGTTGAAGTATATACTTGCATGAGTATATTTATTTCGCTTACTTATGATAAATTAAAGCAAGCTAATTTTCTGTTAACTGGTAAATATCAGGCAAATAATTCTTCAAAACTTAGTAGATCGGCAGAAACAGAAGCTGCTAGTCTGATTGACCTGAAAACCTCTGTTAGGAGCAGCCATCATAGTGCCTGCATATTGAGTCAGTCTTAATTTCAAAAATAAATATTAAAAAAATTCTAAACATTCATTTCTGTGTTACGTGACTTATCAGAGCTTTGCTTTCTCTACTTCAGTATTTTCTGACATGAGAAATAACCTGCTGCACTTTCCAACCAGTTAGAAACACTAACTATAAATAATTACAATCAGAAGTCTAAAAATGGAACTTTTTACCTTCTTGATTTACCGAGATATCAATAAATTTGTTAAACCCACCGTAGAAGGCTCCTCTGTCTAACTTTTGAGATTGTTCGATAATCAACTTTACATGGCAGAAAATATGTTTATAAACAAAAGGAAGAACAGGTTCTTCTCTGCATAAATTGTACAAGTCATTGTTTAGTTTTTGTGACATAAATATTTAATCATCTAAAATATTTTGTATTTGGTTATGGTAACTTGTGCTCTAAACGCTGAAGGAATTTTTTAACCTCTCTATAGTTTACTTAGAAATTATATAAATTATAGTAATTTGGGACATTCTCTTCTAGTGACTGATAACTATTTTGTGTTATAAAATACATTTTTTTGGACATTAAAATTTGTGATACTCAATGAGGTTTATGGAAGAATGTCTAAATAGTTTTAATAAAATGCTGTTTAATTGTTGTCCTTAGAAGCTTTTATTTGTTTAAAATTTTTTATGCGTGTTCATTCAAGCTAAGTTTATAATTTGATTAGCTGTGTAAACAAAGTTTCAGAATACAAAACTATGAAATATCATTGAATTATTTTATTTAACTTTGTGCAGTAGCTTATTAAAAATGTAGTTAAAAACAGCTTATATAACAAACATTTAAAAAGTTAAGTCTGTCAGTTCAATATTAGGGATGGCTAGTACAGATAGACCTTGTTTAGCTGTGTACGAACAAATAAAAACAGAAGTTTTATTGCTCATCCATATATTAGCACAACAAATCAATTTGATAAAAATAAATCAAAGTAATTGATTTTATCTTATATTCTCTTCTTAAAATGAATGAAGCTTCATATTGAATTTACCTAGTAATTACAAAGTTATTATCTAAATGTCATGTTTATAGTGATGTATGACTACAGAAAGTTACAAATGGGATATTATTATGGCTCAGGTATTTTTTCTAAATTATTCATGTTACTTGCCTCCTTGTAACAATAAATTATTATATATTTTTTATAAAGCTACTTAGAATTGTGTTCAATGTTTGTAAAAACAAATTCTATAATAACAATAATGTTATTTTGGTGATGCTTTATGTATGTGTGTGTGTGTGTGTGTGTGTGTGCTAGTGTGTCATGAAAAGGCAGTAACATTGTATTTTTGGACATCACTTACTTAAAAGCAAGGAACCTTAATACAATATATAATTATGTAAATATATTAGCTTCATTAAACCTTAAAGTACCTAAACAATTTCTGTTATTTTAGTAGGTGATAAAACTGTTCATTGATTATTACTGTGGTACATTTTAGGATTTATAAAATGTTACTCATAAGAAACGGACTTCCTGTAGAATTTCTTTAATTGTACATCCTAATAATTTTATTGCCATGAATTTAAGCAGTTGATAATGTTTGAAAAATTATTTTCCAATAACTGTGAGAATAAATATGTGTGTGATCATTTTGAGTATTTAGGGCAAGTAGGTTGCAGAATTTTTAATAGTGAGGAATGTCTTAATAAGTTCATGTGTTTCTAAATTAATCAAAATATGGTTTGATGCCTTTCAAACAAAATCAAACTACATAATTATTCCAAAACATACATACCTCCACTGACACTAATAGCTATTTCTAGATTTTCATCTTTGCTATCTAATGTTGTGTGTGCTTGCTCCAATCTTTATACACTCCACTCGACTGCCCTCGGCAATTTCTAATTTGCAAAACTTTACGCTGGCTTTCACACGCCCTCTATGCAGGTACTGTATATAAGCACTGTGTGTAGACAATAAAATCACTTTTTGGAGACTTACCACATTCCGGTCACTAACACAGGCTCTTAGTGGGGAGTATGGGAGGGAGTGTCAGTGGAGGTAAGTATGTTTGGAAATACATTTTCAGTTTAGGAAAATGAAAACTTCCAAAACATACATGACAAATTTCAATACTTTTATAAATATCAAAAAGCTTATGCTGTAAATCCATGTGGAAGGCTGTCGCTTATTTGAAAAAACTCAGGATTAAAAACAAGTTAACATCTTTTAAATATAAATACACATGTCAGTAGTTAAAGTCTGTGAAAATATGTTTTGTCCAAGTTGGTTAAAGAATTATTAAAACACCTTTTATAGTTGCAACCTTACAACAGATATTGGGGGATTTTGATCACTAGTTCAGGTACTACTCTGTTAAAACAGTAAATTTTTACTTCTTTTGTATAAACTTATAATCTAATGAAAAAGAAATTGATGATTTCAGAAGAAAAAACTACTGGACAAAGTGGTAAGCTCTATAAACCTCCCAAACTGGCAGAGATTACCAAGAAACCAGAACAACCAAAACCTGACATTCCAAAGTTTGATAAACCAGACAAACCTGTAAGTTTTTACTACTTCTACTAAATAAAATATTGATACATGTAGTGTTATGTAGTCTTTGTAAGATCACTTCATATCACTTTGCTGTGAATCACAAACATTACTTCTATGAATAAATGAAGGCACTTAATCTAATAGCTTTGCCACTGTAGGTGGACAATTAACTCTTAATTTATATTATTATTTACTTATTAATATCAATTACATCAGTTAAATGTTGCATAAAATAATGAACTAATCAACATTTTATTTCTGATTATTACTGTTTTAGGTTATTTTAACCACCCAATTAATTGAATTATTGCCATTATGATTCCTCATTATTTTTGGTTAATTTGGAAGTTATTCAATTAAACAATCTCACGACTCATTAAAATAATCAACCAATCAAAATTAGTGTTTATGATTATTACTATTTTTGATTATTCTAAATATACAAGTCTTGTGAAAATAATTAATTAATGAGCTCGACAATTAATCAGTTATCAAATTCCACTAATTCCTCAGCTGTATGAATAAAGACTAACATTCTTTATGTTCTAACATTCCATATGCTGTGTCACAATTCCACTATTTTTGTCTCCCAATGACAGTGGCAACTATTTTTTCATTGGTCCATCTGCCACTCCTTTCCTCCTGGCATTGATCATACTGTGAACAATTTTTCTGCCTTTTTACCTGGCTGTTTGTTCATGGTTTGTCTGTCTCTGTCCTTCATAGTTGTTGGCTTTCCTTATCCATGGCATTTTGCCTTTCCAAGTACTACAAGGAGTTTCTTTCCCTGTCCTCTCCACTCTGTTCTGCTTCATCATTCTCCTCTGTCCTCTTCATCTGGATGACACCTTAGTAGGTTTTTGCATGATCTCGTGTATACCCTATTGGAACCATTAGTTTTTGTACCATCTTTCTTTCCAAACTTATTTCCTCCTCCTCCTAACCTGTGATTACCATCTTTTGGATGTTTATGCTATGGATGATTCTCACACCCTTTTTCACTGCACTTATATACTCCTTTCCCTGGACTGATATTTTCTTCCTCAGATTTCAACTGCTTGGGAGAATAACCATACTTTTTCTTCAATCTCTCTTTTTTTCTGTCTCTTACCTCTTTGATCGTTCGGACTTGGTTCAGCTCCTATGTCCCATTTGGACTGTTCTATGTTTCTTATAATAGACTACTCACTTTTGGTGTCCCCACCATTTTCTGTCCCTACTCAGGAACTCCCTTTTCTTCCAAGGACCTCTCTCCTTCCACCTTTACTGGTTGGATCTATCAACTCCTCTAGTTGTCATTCAATTTGCCACCTTACACATTCTCTTGCATCTTATCTTTGCCAGCCTTAAAACAAGATCCTCCAGGTAGGAATGTAAATAATTCCACACAGTTCTCTCTTCTTATCTATACCATCTGGCTGTTTTGTGTCCTGATGGGTTTTGGGTTTAACTGGTTGCCATTATTCAGTTACCCCACCATCTTTAAGAAGAATATGTACAATTACTTTTTCAGAGCCACTTTTTAATTTCATAGGATTGCACTAAGTGGCTGTTGTTACTTCTCAGAGTATACTTACCCAAAATCTGCATTGAGTCTGGGACATCCCTTAAAACCATCCATAACTAAAGTGTCCTCATGCAGCTGTAATCTGTCCTGTAGACTCTGTTTAGTGGAGTCAAGGTGAGCACATATGATACAAAATCAGAATACACATCTAATGCACCCATCCTCTTCCTGCATCCAGAACCTGTTTAGTTGAGTAGAGGTGAGCACACAATGTACAGAAACACAATCCATAACTCATGTGCCCTCCTCCTGCAGACAGAGTCTTTTCAGTAGAGTTGTGATGAGCACACACTATGCAAAACCATACTGCATAACTAATGTGCCCTTTTTCTGCAGCTGGAATTTATCCCATAGAGGCTGTTCAGTTGAGGTGAGCACACTGGGTATGGTCTGAATGCATCCCAACTACACTACACATTGGCTTACCATCCACTTGTATTCAAATGGTCAGATAGTGCTCTCATTCCACCCATTCTTGAGACACATTAGGTTCCTTTGCATCTTCTCCCTTACATTCTGGGTGAAGAGTATACCTTGGTTGAGATGAGATGCAGTCTACAATGGGTATGCCCCTATGGAACCCCTGCCATTGGGTGTCACACTTCATCAACTTCCCTTTGGGCATCATTTGAAGGGAGCTCATCTAGGTATAATTTCCACCAATTCATTAGGGGCTTTTCTGCTTGCAGGGGTGAGTTATCATTTCTGAAGTTAACATTTTTCTAATGTGCAAATGTATTTCCAATAGATACTCACCTCCTCACACACACTCCTGCTCATCCTTCCTACTTCCAGTGTACATTTTTTGTCTTGCCATGTTAAAGAATGAAATTGTGTTGAATGCAAGTGCATAGGGGGAGTTACTGTGCATGAAGGTTGTATCACTCTCCTATTGGTGGAAGGCCTTTTTTGTATGATGATGTCATCATGCATCAGCCAGTTCACATTAAAATTCATGAAATTAGGTGGGAGTTACCTGAAGGCTAGTGGTGTGAAAATTTCATAGGCAGATGCACGAGGAGAATAGCTTTCCTGTGTGAGGATGCGAGCATATATGAGAAATACATTTTCAGATTTGGAAAATGTTAACACTGATTTTAATCAGTTGATTATTTTTGTGATAACCAATAGAATCAGAACTTAGATTAATTGTTGGAATAATTGGAAACACATTTTGATTAATCGATTAGTTTATGTGACTCTAATGAATGTAATTTGCTGCTCACAGGTAAACGATTAAACTGTCCAGCTCCAATGACAAAAATGTTTAAATCCTGTACTTTTTCCAAAGTGATCTTGCAACAGGGTGTGAAAACTTTAAATGTATTATAAACATAAACAAATAACTCTTAAATGTAAAAAATCTGGAAACTTTATGTTAGCATTCACTGAAAGCAAATGTGTTGATTTACAAAAGTAATCTTGGTCAGCTGTAAGAATAAAGAGAAGTTAAGGCTTTGAGTGTGACTGAGAATTAAAATGATACTCCACATTCAAAATAAGTGAAACAAACTTCATGTTGAATTTAATTAAATACCTACAGTATTGTAAACATGAATAAATATAAGTAAAAAAATGCACAGTCTACATGTTTCAGCTGGCACCAATCAGTCATCACCCAGATACAATATCCACTGTTTTGTCTCTATTTATAAGAAAAATACTATGTTTACTTGTGGCAGACCAATGGAATTCATACATACATCATAAACTTGCATAAACCTTCCATTTATTATCTTTAACTAAGGCAAGAGATGGAAATAATGATCTCCAAAAACCATGTAAACCTGGTCCATTATAATTATTCATACCATTTTTTTTGTCATTTTCAGTAGATTCACAATTATGATGTTGCTCATAAAAGTTTGGTGCCACATTAGCTTTGTTGCAGTTAATTTATCACCAATTTCTCACTCACCGCTCTTGTTTACAATATTTTTGTTGTTCTTTAACACTTATGGAAAACAAACATTTTGTTGGTCTAATATCAACTTGTTCACATATATTGTTTGGAATTTCATAAAAACCGTGTCTTTTATTTTTTCGTAAATAACTTTATAATACCTGCCACACAAGCTAGCCCAGGGGAACATTTCAGAAACTGGTAATTTAAGGTTATTTTGATAGATCTGAGTGAATGAAGCCTCAGCACAACTTCTAAATGAAAAAAAACCAAAAAAAACTAAATGTTAATGTAAATATGACATGATGAAATCTATATGATTATACTATGGTGGTATCATACTGGACATTATAGCATCCTTCTTATATTTACTTGTCATTGTAGAAATGACCTTTTTAATTTAAGAATTGCTAAGGAAATCATCTTGTAATGCATCTGCTTCAACTTCAACACTGCATCTTTGGGCTTTACTGTGCCGTTAGTTTCCCACAATATTGAAACTAATGATTTCTTATATATGATTCCAATCCATTTTCATGAAGTTAATGATACCATTGTGCCCTTGTTTTATGTGTTGCTAGTCAGTGCAGTAATTAATTGACAAATCTTCAATTCAGCTGGTATGTCAAATTGATTGGGATATCTTTCCTCAACTGACCTGGACCCAAGGTTTAGCTTCATCACTACACTTAAACCATTACTTTCACAACCATATCTAGAACATTTCAAGCATGTTTCATTGCTACATCATTTTACTTTACATTTACAAAGTTGACTTTTCCATGTTGGCTCTCATGGTCTTGGGTCCAGTCACGGGTGTAGTCCACAGACCTAGACCTAAAAAATAGTGCCAAACGTCTTCTTTATATCTAACCAAAACAATGCAAACCTTTACATAATGAATAATTGTTTTGCATCCACATCAAGAAGCCAGGTTATCTCTTATGGCAGGTGTTAAATGGTTTATAAACAACTCTAAAATTAAATTTTTGAAAGCTTTGGATAGTTTACTACAAATTTTAAAGAATTTAGTATTAATGTGATGGTTTCATCTTTATTTTGTATTTTGGATATATCTTTTTCTTCTTTAACTTCTTTAAAATTCTCTCACATAAACCATTTATTAAACTTAGTTTGATCTCTTTATTTACAGCAACATTGGTTTACATAATTTCATTTTTTAACTACTCTCTCTCTCTCTTGACCAGAATAAGTATTTAAAGCTTTTCGTAACATAGTTTATAAAAACACCAATATTTTGTGAGTGATGACTATTTGAATGACAATTAGGAAAAAAGTTATAAGTATATCATGAACATTCTAAATGGTTTTATATATTTAAATTATTTTTTGTTAATAAGAAAAATTAAAAGGAAAGCCAATTATTTTGTTTTGTTTCATATGTTAATTGAGTTGCAGGAATAATACTATTTGCATGATCCAAAAATATTTTAATTGCATTATCATCATGAGGGATATGAATTTGCATATAAATATCAAAGAGATGTAGAGAGAGTTTTTTTAAATAACATAATTTTAGAGTTGTCTATAAACCAGCAAAACATTAGATTTCTTTCTGTTTAGTAATAAAAGTGTCTTATATAAAGATAAAAGGCAAGGTATTTATGCAATGTATGTGAAAAAGTTTATGTTGAATGAAATGTATTCTTTTTCTATTAGAGTTAAAGAGCAGCAAAAATACTATAAACAAAGGAAAAAGAAGAATTGGCTATTGCTTTACATATTTATAATACAGGGCATTTAATTAATTGGGATGAAACAAATATTATTGCAGAACCAAAATTTTATGAGCATTGCAATATTGGCAATTCTATTAAAAGTGGCATGGCCTGGCGGTTTGTGTTAGAGTGTTTGAGTTGCATTCTGTTGGTTGTGGGATCAAAAACCTGGCACCAAACATGCTTGCCCTTTTAGCCATCAGTGGGAGGGGGGTTATAACATGACAGTCAATCCCACTATCTGTTGGTAAAGAGTAGCCCAAGAATTGATGGTTGGTTTTGCTGGCCACTTGACTTCTTTCTGATCAATAGTTCAAAATTAGAGCTGATAATCCTAGTAGCTTTGCCAAATACAAACCAGCTTTTGAAATTGAAAAAAAGAAAGAAAAAAAGAGGGTAGTGTTAATATTATGGATAATTATAATGAACCAGATTTACATGATGTTTAAGAGATCCTTCTTTTCCTCTCTCCCCTTAGTTCAAGATAATTTATGGAAGGTCTGTGTGAGTGTTTGACATATGTAATAGTTCAATTCAATAGTGTGCTGCATACAAATGCAAAACAATGTATATTATAACGCTGTTGACTGATGACTGGCTGGTCTTAGCCAAAACATGTAGGTCTAGTGTTGTTTTATTTATATTTATCCATGCATACAACCGTGTAGGTATGTGATTTTTAATTATTAATCTGTGTCCTAACACAGAAATGGGGTTCTATCATGATAACTAGTGTGTTGAATATATTACTTGGAGGGGAGAAAGGGTGCATTGTACATAGAGGTAGGCTGTCATATGTTTGTAAATTGGGTCACAGGCTTTACTTATGTTACAGTGCAAACTCAGTTTATTTGCACAGAAGTGACAGCGAGGCTTGACATAGCATCAGCATACTGAAGGTCAAAGGTAAATAACTTTTGAGCCAACATGATTGGCTGTTCATAACTACATATCTATACAAGAGAGTTGCTGAGCATGTGTTTTGATGTAATCGTTCTTAGAAATCAAAGCACAGGTAACTCAGAAATGTTGGCCATGACAACAAAACATGCATTTTAACCAAATCAAATCTTGTGCACCAAACAGTCAAAAGTCAGGGTTAAAAAGGGAAACAATGAATGTACATAATAGAAGTTACATAGTGATAAACTTTAATAAAATTCCTAGAATATAATTGAAATATTTTTCACTTAGAGCCACCAGATTACACTAAGTTTGTTACCAATGTCCTCTGAGTATATGTGATACTTTTAGTCAAAACTATTTAGAACCTTTTGTCACCAATTAAAAACAACACATTAAAAAAAAAAACATTTACACTAGTAGAAAATGAGTGTTAAAATGTTGTGCACATGATGTATCCAGTCTAGGATTAAGTATACTTCAGTCCTGTTTTTAGGATTATTTATAAATATCAATAGCGTACAATATGTAAAAATTCACAAGTTACCCAAGTGTTAGGTAAAAATTAAACATGATAGAAAAAATGTAGCTTTCAGTTGACATGTGCAAAGGATTATTTTCAGCACTTACTGGCAAAAACTTGTATGATTAAGGTGACTCACCATAATCAAAAACTTGTATGATTAAGGTGACTCACCATGATCAAAAACTTGTGTGATTAAGGTGACTCACCATGATCAAAAACTTGTATGATTAAGGTGACTCACCATGATCAAAAACTTGTATGATTAAGGTGACTCACCATAATCATAGTGGCATTGTTTTGCATGTAATGTGATCAAATTAATATAGATTCATGTTGTTCAAGAAAAACTGAAATATGAAAAAGTTTTCATTTTACCAGGATTAGGATGAACTCTTAAAAGATCATGCCATTATAATAAGTAGAAATGGATAAATCTTTTCAAAAAGAAGTGTTAAATTGTTTGCGCTTGATCAACAGTCAAATATTTGACCTTCATCAATACATATTCATTTATAACTTTGACAACTGATATTTAAAGACATCCATTTTGTAAAGATAAAAAGAAGACTGAGCTTAATTTAGAAACTCGTGTATATCTGATCGTTGAATAATCTTATTTAGAAATTATATTTTTGTTTTTGGAAAAACTTGCAGCTTTTTAGGAAGTGACAACTACATAAAACAGTATTAAAATACAATATCCTAGAAAGTTGTACTTAGTTGTATATACTCATACTTTTCCAGAGATCTTACAAATATACTTGTGTTGTTGTTAAAACTAATACTTAATGCAATTCCAAAATTGTATTGTAGAATAAGAAAAAAGGAAATGAGAAGCAGAAGAGTAATCTTGAATTGTTTAAAGAAGAGTTAAAAATGTGAGTACTGATTTGAAAATTTTATTTTAATTCAATCAGAATTGCATGGAGCTCCCAAAAAAACCCTATTAAATGATATAAATGAATACAAATTGCTCATAGAATAAAGTTAGCCTCTTTAGGTTTTAATGTCTTTTTTATACCTTAGACAGTCTCTGGACACTATTTTTGTCATATAAAACTTAAGTATTAATAAGGCAAGTTGATTTTCTGTATATCTATTAGTGGTGAAGAATGGTGTTCAGTATCGTAACACGAAAATATCTTCAAGATTACACAAAATTAGTTGAAGCTTTATTAATATGAAGTACCCACAGTATGTTGTTTGTGTATCAGTTTTTGTATTTTTTGTAGTTTGGGTGAAAGCAATCATAAGCTAAAATTAACTCAAAAGTGGACATTCAGTGAGATGTATTGGCTAAATTTTCTCATTATTTTAGAGATAAGTTTTGGAAATAAAAAATAATAATTTGACTTGTAGACCTTTGCCCAGTTTGCTAGTTATGTGGAAGTTTTGTGCACTTGAAATTTTGTGAGTCAGTGTGAGTGATTGAAATTTGTGTCTATTCAGAATTGGTATAGCTACTTGGAAATTCTGCCACATAAAAATTTTTTTTATTGCAAATAACTATCAAGAACTATCAAACCTTCTTGGGATCTTTTTTTTTAATATTGTCCAAATTACTTTCCCATCCAATAAGTTTTATCTTTGTGTTTTCCTCCTAGTTATTAGTCTAGCTCTATTGTTTAGAGTAACAGCAGTTCATGAGTTTTAGAAAATATTTTTGGAATTAGTACAGCAATGGTTGTGACATAGCCAAAGAACTTGCATGTAAACTATGATTGATTTAAAAAACAAAACTGGCAAAAATTATTGCAATAACAGTACTGGTAAAGTAGTATTAAAATCTGTGGTTAAAGAAGCAAGCCAGCCAATCAATAGAAGTGTTTGAGTTTGGGGTAACATCAAGGTTTATTTCTGAAAAAATAGAGAATTACAACTGTTTCTATTATTATCAGTAGATGTACGTTTAAGAAAGTAGATTTGAAAAAAACTTGTTTCATAATATATTTTATAGCATCCAAGAAGAAAGAGAAGAACGACACAGACTTAAGCATGCCATTAAAGATCAGATTAAGACTGGGAAGTATGAGCCTGTAGATGCACAGATTAGACTAGGTAAGTAGAAGCCAGCTATTGGCAGTAATTAGAAGTAATCTTCTGAAAGCTGTGGTATTAAAAGTTTATCTTGAAGCATCATGAGATCGATCAAAAGGGTTTTTAAAATCTGTAGAATTTAAGAAGAACCCAGTGCTTCATCCAGTTAGATAAGTAAAATTTTGTCTAACTCAGAAAAATGTAAAACCTTAACATAATCAAGTTCCTTATATACCTTTAAGTATTAGGTAGAAGAGAAACATGAAAATGTTTAGTAAAATTATAAATACAACTGTTTAAGTAAAAATCAAAATACTTAATTTGGTAAGATCAAGAAAACTAAGCCCTTAATGTGCATCCATGCACACTTCTCTACATGTTAATGGCTGTGGGGATGTTGATTAGCCCCCTCCCCCCATTAAATTAAGTAAATCAACCTGCTTAATTGATGATACAAATGTAGGGATCACTCTTAATGTTTGGGATCTTTAAGTGAAATTGGCTTATGACCTTTGCATATTTTTTATTTCTTAATACATTGCCACTTAGATAAGTGACACGTACATATGTGAGACTTTAAAAAATCAGAAAATTAGTTTTATTGTTGGTCACCTTAAAAGCAAGTTTGAATAAAATGAACCATGTTATAAGCAAAAGCAAGAAAATAGTTCGCTAAAGCTTGCTGAAACAAGTCAATATTGTTTAATGTCAAACAAATATATATATATTTATTTTTGAAGCTCACTACAGTCTATGTGTAAATAAAGAGAGAAAAAAGGAACACTAAAGAATTTTTATTTTTACTGTATAGGATAAAACAAACATTAGCTTGTAAGTTGACCAATAAAGTTTAGTAACTCAAACCTACAAAAATTGTTTTTATGCTTATAAAAAAGTAACCATTATCACTCAGATTATATAAAAAAAATAGTTGAATACTGAATATGACTAATAAGTTTGGAAACTTGGTAATGAGTTGTTTATGAGTACAAGAGAAGATAGTTTTTGGTTTCAGATTTTTCTTTCTGTTATTCTTTGTGATATTTCTCATAAGAAATTTCTCATGATTCTTCATAATTCCTTTAAAATGAAACCTTAAGTTGAAGTGTCTGTGCTGTAGTAGTTATACAAGTTTAAGTGGACTTAATTTTATTATTTCTAATACTTCTAGAAACTGTAAAGATTGGTAAGATCATCTGCCATCAAGCCTGTAAAGTCTTACAGGAAAATATATTAAACTTAAACAAATAAGAATGAAAACTTGTGTTATAAAATACTATACTTTACATTTTCTGTAAGAAATACTTTTAATAAAAGTACTTTATTGTAGATGTGGGTTTTAAGTTGCTAAGTGAACCCTATGTTTGTTTAGCTGATGACTACAGACTGCCTGCTCTTGGATCATATGACACAGGGGATCCAAATACCACCAATTTATACTTGGGAAACTTGAATCCAAAGGTAAGACAAAGTTCGTGCAGATTTACTTGATATTAAAATGTAATTATTCAACATCTTAGAAAATAGGAATATTTTACAAATTACCAGAAGAATTATAACATAACTGTAATTTTTAATGAACATTTATTTCTTTAATTGATTTTTTAACAACACATAATATTATTGCATGTGAAACAGTGTATTTAATCTTTACAAAACTGACTTGATCATTTTTCATCATTATTGATATTTTGTTAAAGTATATTCAAGTATTCATGAACTGTTTTATAAATGTACATTAATGAATGTTTTTGAATGATAGTCTAATATTTGTTAAGAGCAAATGGGGATAAGATAGAAGTTTGGAATATAATTCATGAATGGGGAAAAAAAGTTAGTCAGGGTAAGAAGATATGCTGACCAGTTAAGTGACCATTAGCCTATTTTGCATAACATGAAAAAGTTCTGATGAAAGGTTATAGGAAAGAAGCTGAATAAACATAAACCGAAAGTTACAATTAAAAAAATAAACATTTAACCCTATCGCCACGGGTATCCTTTACTGTGCATGACATAAAGTTTTAGTGTCTTACATTTAAAATTTTATTAAACTGCTTTTTGTTTATGTTGTACTAATTAGTATAGCATAAAATCTTAGCTAATAATGCAGAGGTTAATAGTATTTAAGTTTTAAGTTCTTAATTCTATAAAGCAATATTTAAAAAAATCCTGAATTTCTCCTTCTGTGACACACATGACACATTTTCTATGAGTATCTTCTCTTTATTATTTTATCCACCAACCCTTCAGAAATTACAAAATTAAATGTAAATTACTCACTGTGATTATCGTCATTGCTCAGACAAACCATAATTTTTATAGCCTTCCATTTTTTTGGTTACAGAGCTATCAAATAGAAAATCAGACCCCTCTTGTTACATCCTCTCTTTCAGGAGTTGTTAATAGTTCTCTATTACGTTTAATTATATATTACCTATAACCAATAGAAAGTCAAGGTTTTCATCTATTAATGACATATTGTATAACATTGTATTCTGAACAGATAAGTGTCAATTTCACTCAGAGTACAAACTTGATTTCCATGGGAAAGTTAACAACTAGCTTGGATGAACTTGTAACGGCTCTTGTCGCATAGTTAGAAAACCAGAAAAATTTTGAGAGTTAGGTGAAATTATATACTTTTTCATGTTATTAGTCTATGTTCTTTTGTGCATTATTTAGTTAAATAAAAATTTTTTTAGTGCATTACTACCATTAGTATAAAAAAGTAGGGTTAAGTGTCATCAATCAATAGCAAGAAAAAGAAGATTGGGTTAGTGCTTTATTTCTTGTTTTTGAAGTTTATTCTTTATTTATTGTTATAAAAGTAATTAAAAGGTAAAAATATGGGTCTTTTTAGGTTAGATAAGATTGAATTAGGTAAAATGTATAATAATATAATAAAAATGTTTCATGAGTCATGCACACTAGCAGCTTGTAGTAGCTCGTGGGTAATGTAATTCAATAGCATAATGTGAGCTGCATGTTCCCCGAGTGATTTACAACTTATAATGGCGTGAATAGTAGTTACACATTTCAAAGGGCAATAAAACAATATAATTTAATTGTAAATAGATGTATACTGTTATGAGCTTAAAGCTACTTAAGATAAACAAATGTAGTTTCATGTTACAATTTGAAGTCATTTTAGAAAGAAAAAAATTTTAATTTAGATTTTTTTGGTGGTTATGAGGTTGGATAAATTGACAGATCCCATATAGAGATAGGGTAGAGAAAATAATGGACAAAATATTAAGTTTTACTGAAAAAAAATGTTTGAAATGTATTTAGGAGAGTTTTAGAAGTTACACAAAGGAAATTTGAGATTTTTGAGATGAAGAAAAGTATTTTTAATCTTCAAATGAAAATTACTTTGCACACAGACTATTCAAAACAAATACTCAATATATTCAAGGACAAATCTTTATTTTAGTTTATTAAAAATACTTCACTAAAAAATATGATTTTTTTTATGTGAAAGACAATTATAACTGAAAGACTGCTAAATTTTGTGGAGATATACACACTATATTGAAAGTTAGAAGTATTAAATCTATAAATACTTTAAACGTACAAAGAGGTCACATGGTTGGTCAAATTGACCTAGCATGTGTTGAGAGAGTTAACATACTAATATTAATTTATTGCAACATATTAGTGTAAGATCATTAATTGTTTGTCCAGATAAAGTGTTTAAGAACTGGGAGTTGTTTATTTTTGTGTTGATTAAATATTGTAATTTTGTAAATATTCCTCAATGATATTTTATCAGACTTGCAAATAAAATTTGATGCTATCATGATCCTTGACAAAAATAAGTACCACAATAAAGCATATTGACAACTCTAGGATACAAAATAAGTTCATCAGTTTGATGAAAATGTACAAAAGGTATAAAGACTTTACCAAAGTGAGCTCATTGACTGTAAGATTGTACAGTATATAAAACCAACCAACTTGCCCCTGATCAAATCTACATGCTGCAGAAAATTATCTGGTTATTTTGTTGTATCTAGCTTCATTGTTGCTACTGAAAACTAGTCAAACTTCACTAATTACCATCTTCAAAATCCACTCTTCATCAAACTTCATTGATCATACTATTAAAATCTTACATCTCATCTAGACTTACATTTTATAATTAAGATAGTATTGACTTCTCAGTAATGATTCATCTCTTTCTCACGTATATGATGAGGGTTTGAATGCTCTTGTGTATGTATTACTGAAACAGTTCTAAAACTTTAGTTGTCAGAACCTAACTTTAATTACTTTGAGTTCCATAATAATTTTTATTATTTAAATTATTGACATTACTATGAGAAACAGTATAAACCAAACTAAAATATTTATTTCATGGTGCATTATAAAACAGAATGCTTGACAGCCAAACACTTGGAAATGTTAAACATGAAACAAAAATTCTGTTTGGTCTTTCTGTGAGCACACACAGCCTCTAAATAAATCTGCCAAGTTAGTTTTTCTTACACCATACTGATCTGATTTCTTGTAAGAGCAGTAGATTTATACCAGAAACTGATAGATTTCAGTGTCTTTATAATTTAAGATAACATCTTCCACACACTAAGCAAGATATATCATTAGTTACTTAAATAAATATGTATCTGAGATGAACATTTATTCACAAAGTTTCATGGGGAGAAAGTAGTAAAGGCTGTTTTGGTTTAATGTAAATAAATAAATAAATAAATAAAATAACATTGCTAAATCATTTAATCAGCCTTTTCTATATTTGTGAATTTTGTTTTTAAGCCTTTCTACCCATTGTAACTATATATATGTGTAATTTTTTCCACTTTATTGTTCTTTTGCATCTTCCCTAAAATTGCTGGTATTTGACACAGTTTTCTAGTGGTCATCTAATTGGTCAGCTTATTCTACAACTGAAATTAATGTTTTGAATTTGCATAAATCTCTAAATAACATTACCCATTTTCACCTTTATCCTCTTTTTCCTGTTAAATACTAACTTTCAAAGTGTTTTGGTCTTTTAGAGCACATTTTTTATGGATTGTTTTTCTTTAAAGTCAGATGCTGTCTGAATCAGAATAAATGTAAAGAAATTATATGAGAATTATTTCACAAATACAGTCAATACTACATAAAATTTGGAAATGGAGTGATGTCTTGGTTTTTGAATGCTTTACTAACTGGACTAATGGAATTGCCAATATGAATAACAAAACTCAGTAGTTAATTTTATATGCATGTGTACAAGTTTTATATCACTTCTTTCATTACACAGTCACTTGGTGAGTTTAAACTATATATATATGCAAAGATTGCAGTACACTTTTTGTGTACTAAAACAAAACTCTTGTTTGATTTTTGGTGTTTTTGATACACCTTGATTGTCTTTCTTGTACTTGTCTGAACTGTGGGGGAAAATGTTACTAATTATTTGTATATAAGAGAGACCATTTCCAATCAGTTCTTTTTTTTTTTTACTTTTAACCCTTTAAACACGGGTAGAAGAGATTACCATTTGCTTGACTAGGAAAGGACATTTATGCAACAAAGATACGGTAACTCTGCATTCCTCACAAAAAACCTCACAAAGTTTACAAGTATTAGAATGACATTATTCTAATTATATCCTTCAAATAAATATGTTACTTATCTATAGTAGTTATTTGTATTTGGACTTAAAATAATTCGATTGCATGGTGATTTTCATTTAAAGTATAAAAATACTTTTCTTCATCTTAGATTTTCCATATTTCATTTGCATAACCTCTAGAACCTCCTAAATGAATATCAATAGTTTTTAAGGTAAATGTTTATATTTTATTTTTCATTTTCTCTACTGTATCACTAACTCTAGCTGTTATCATCAACGTACAATGCAATGAAATGATTAAAATTAGGAAATAAGAAAAAAATTCCTACCTTCTAATTTTTTGTAGAATACTTTTACATATGTTGTTTTACTTATATTCATAATTTTGGGTCATTTCCTTTTTACATATAGTTAATTTTTAATGTTTTATTTTCTGTTCTTGTCCTTTACCACTTATTATTGATCTCAACACAAAAACAACAGTGCACTCAAGGCATGTTATGGTGTGTCTTGCAGACATGTGCAACCCTTCAGCAAAATTTTCATGCACCGCATAATATTCTAAGAATTGAGAACTAACATAAAGTATGATGTATATTTAGAAAAATGTTTAAACTTTTCAACTATACATTTTAAAATATAATTAACTAAATTATAAAAGTAAGACCTAAATACAATTTAACTGTATTTCTAACTATAACATATTTAGGTAAGAAACAGCTGTAAGTGCTATAGTCAATCAAGCAGCCAACAGTACTATAGTCAGTTACATGTATTCTGTGGCGACAACTGTTCTCCAATTTCAAAATAACCTTTGTTAGATTATAATGTGAAATAAGCTGTTTTTAATGACTATACACATGTATTATGTAACATTCAGGGTATAAAGCTCAAACAAATCTGTTGAAGGTGAGCTAGGCACCTCTCAGGTTGAAAAAATGTAGTACTTGTTTCAACTGTATTCATTTCATTCACACACATTGATATCAAAGGTATTTAATTGTGCAGAAAAAGGTTTAAAAAAGGGTACCTATCACAAAAGGGGTTAAGTGACTTGAACAGAAAAGTAACCAGTAACTTGCTTATCTGTTCAAATCACGTAAAGAAAAATGAAAGGATAAGTGGAAATGAGTATTGAAATTACAATAATGTCTAGTATTTATATTCATTGTTTTCACAAATTAGTGTTAGTATTATTGTGAACATTGTCATTATAGATGACTGAGCAACAGTTATGTGAAATATTTGGACGTTATGGCCCTCTTGCCAGTGTAAAAATTATGTGGCCTCGATCAGATGAGGAGAAAGCCAGAGGGAGAAACTGTGGTTTTGTGGCTTACATGAACAGGAATGATGGGGAAAGAGCAATGAAAAATTTAAATGGTAAATCTGTTTATGCTGAAAAAAAAAGTTTAAAATCCTCTTAAAATAAATATTTAAAATGTTCCTAGGAATGTATAGTATGTAGAAATAAAAGAATGAGAAACTGCTGATTGTAAGGCTTTCATTCTACTAACTCTACTTCTGCTAAAATGTAAATATTACACTGTGTTTTTTTCCTTCCCAGTATTCTGTAGAATAAATGCTTTAATCTGTAAGAAAAAAAAAAGTGAAATAGCACTTACTTTTCAAGTTTTGCCTAGTTATATAAAGGTGTGAATTCTTGCATCTGATAAAAATAAAAAATTAGTAAAATATTTGAATACAAGTATTTTGTGAGAAATTCTGAATGGATGACATTGGCTGTAGTGTGTTGCAAATTAGAAGAATAAAGCTAGTTTGGCTGCAATGTTGTGTATCTAGGCAAGGAGATCATGAATTTTGAGATGAAACTAGGCTGGGGCAAGGCAATCCCCATCCCTCCCCACCCCATCTACATTCCTCCAGCTCTGGTGGATCTCACACTCCCACCACCTCCATCAGGCTTGCCTTTCAATGCTCAACCAGACAAGAAAGACAGAGAAAGGCTGCCACCACCTGGAACCGGATATCCTGGCACACCAGAAGAAGAGGAGGAATTTCAGAAGGTAACCTGTCATCAGAAACAGTGGTATTTTTGTAAATTTATGTATCTTTTCTCAACCAAAATGTCTTTCAGTTATGTGTACAAGAAAATTCTGTTTGAGAAAGTTGACACTAAAAAGCTGAAAGTAAGAGAAACATCAGGTAAGGTAAATAGGTAATTTCTCCCAGCATTATAGAAACAACTGTGTCAAGTCTAAATATAAAAAAAAAATATATGATCATCATACAAAGAAAAAGGAAGAGCAAGTAGTCTTTATAAAGGTTATAGTATCACAATAGGAAGCATTTACATTATAACTAGACATCTAAAATTTATTTATTTTTTATTGATACCAAAATTTAACAGAGTATATGCTACTTTTTTCACAAATTTCTGACGAAACAAAACCATTAAGAAAGCATTAACCTGCATTTAACTCGGTTAAATTTCCCTTGTGTCTTAGAAACGAGGAATATCACTCATTAGTCCTTCTGGGCCAGATAAAAAGAAAGAAAACTTATCAAGCCTTGTATATAGAATTCATTGATGGGAATGATGGCTTTTTAAGGGTTTTTTTTCTAGGTAAAATAGAATATTAAATATTTCACTTTACTGACAACAAATAGTGATGAAAAAATATTCTTAAGAAGTTTGAAACAATTGCTAGTATTATAGCTACCTGACATCTTAATGCTTACAGTATAATGGGAAATATAATGATTAAAAGTGGTATAAAAGTACCATTCACATGAGCTAAATTACCTTTTAATATTAACTACAACCAAAAACATTTTGGCTTTGATCTATTCCAAGGTTGCTTCATGAAAGGCATTCGTCAAAATATATTGAATCTAGTAAAATAGACCAAAGAAACAGATGCATTAAGGTTAAGTGTGTTAACATTAGTAAAAAAAAAAACTATTGATATCATGAACATTTTAATTGTGTAAATATTTGATTTTGCTGTAATGTAGTGTTGACATTTATCTGTGTTTGATGAAATGTCACTGAAGGATTGCATTTATATTCTGTGCTTTTGAATTGCAGCAACTTCCTTTTTAATGTTTTCTAAAACATTCAAGCATTGATTAGGTCAGTGCTAGTAGTACCATGTTCAATATTTGGATGTAAAAAAACAGTAATTTAATTGACATATTTAGTTTTCATTTTGGCAAAACAACTGCTTTTGTAGTAGGAGAGACTGTTTTTTTTTTGATGTTTTTTTTGAAGCCAGTTTATTGTTTCAATAATATAAATATTAAAGACACACTACCTGTAGAATAACAAGATGGCAAGGATTAATTGTAAAGACAGCAGTTGGAAACAGTATTGCTCAAGTTGCAAATACTCTTAGTATTAGCAAATGTTATGAAAGGAAACATTTTCCTTTGCCTTCTTGTAGCTTCTATCCATATCTATATATTCATGATGTTATGAAAACAAAAGTTCAAAATATTAAGACTAAAGTAAAGAATTTTGTAATCTGAGCACTTTAAAAACGTAGATCTTTCTTTGTCAGAAGCGTCTACTTTTCAAAAAGTGCTTTTTGTTATAAGTTTTTTTGTCCATATATGTATATATATATATTACATTTTGTTTTTTAGAGTTAAGTTTCATGATAGTGTTTCACTATGTGTATGGTATTTATAAAAAAATATGAATACTGTGTTCATTTTTTGGGGGAACTAAGTCATATACAGAAAGGATTGATTTAACCAGAACAATTTTTTATATCAACTATTAGACTTCTGTTTTATCGATAGACTTTTTTTTTTCATTAAATGTATGGCAGTTCTTATCATAAATGTGATGATATGTAAAACATTTTATGTTGACCAAAGTATTGGCTAATCAATATTGTGTGTGAAAAAATGTCTAAATGTGAGTGTTTCACTTGGCCAGGGATAGAAATAATGAAATATAATTACATTCACTGGAGGGAAAGCTATCAGGAAGATTGCATTCCCTCGTGTAAAGTTTCATTTCCTCTTGAATTGTTTTTTTATTTAATCAATGCAATATGTTTACTTTGTTGTTCATAACTAAAGGAATACAGATGGACCATGCATCCCCGATTCGGAAAGCCAAATAAAATGAAAAGATGAAATTCCTCAAGCAAAGATAAATTCCACTGGAATGCTGGAATGTAATATTTCTATCCCTGTTGGCCATATTTAATTGAAAGGTCACTGTGGTGATCTAAACCAAAGCAGTGATCTGTCTGTGTGCTTGTGTGTGTGTGAAAACAAACTGGAAGTCTTATCAACAAGTAACTGAAGAAAATGTTAATGTTATTAAACAAAGATTAGTACGAGATGAATGAAATTTAGGCCCACTTTACTGGGAATTGATTGTAACTACTGTATACATTGAAGAAGAAATTTTTTCTGATTTGGGTATTTTTGTCTTAATATTTAAATAGAAGTGGTAGTAATTTCAACAAAGAAAATATTAATCAATGACTAATAGAAGAAAAAATTGTTCAATGAAAAATTTCTAATGCATGTTAAAGTATTTTATTCATTGTAGAATAGGTGTAAAAAAGTTCTGATAGTGTTTAAAGTAGTTTTCTGAAAATAGAATAATTTTTGTAAAAATAAAACATTAATCCTTTCCCTTCGGATAACATACCCTATTTGCACTGCTGAGTGGCTAATATGGTAAAAAAAATTAGTTATTAATTGCAAAATGTAATGAGTACCATTAAATCTAGAAATACACTTGGTACTAATCAAGGCTTATTTTTCTCGAGAATTATCAGCTCATTATGTGCTCTACATTCTAGCTCTTCTGTTTGAGTGAGGATGTTAATTTTTTCCCTAAAACATGTAACTAAAGTTTTTATTTAATTTTTTTAGTAAGCTTTAGTTTTTGTTATTTTAGAAACAAAAATAGTGTTTTCCTTGATGCTCATAAGCATACAAAATCAGCATTTATGTAATTTATGTAATTCATTGTTAAACTGAAAACTTTTATGTAGGTGTACCTGGAGTGGAAAGGATTAAAAAAAAACTTCTGAAATTAAAAATGAAGCATGTTTCTCTATTGTACAAAAAGTATATTTATGTGTAGTATTTTAGAATATTACTTAGTTATTCTTATTTTCATAACACTTTTATCATATGTTTTTAATCACACATGATAATAATTGTCATCTATTCTCACCTCTTGTTTGGTATCCATCGTCCTTCCTGCAGATATTAGCCAATGCAGTTGTCAAAGTGGTTATCCCCACCGAAAGGTACTGGCCTTTTTGTTCCAATTACTTTTTTTCATCCATCCATATTTTAAGGGTAGGAAATAATGCTTTCCGAGGTCATCCAAGTATTTCCCAAGGGCTACTTGGGGTGGTGGAGACCAAGATACCTGTATACTTTGCACATTTCAGTTGTCTGATGCCTGAAATTTGATAATTCTTCTTTCTCAATATTTATATCTACAAGTATAACCTTAACATTGTTATAACTTTAGTTTTACATTTATGTGATGGTATTGTTATTATTATTTACAAAACAATATGTGAAGTTTTTGTGAGCTGCATTAGTATAAATTCATGTAGTTTGTTTTTAATACATTATCACATGATTTTAGCAAGTTTTTCCAAAATGTATCTAATGACTTTATTCAGAAACATTCAACTGAGAAGAAATTTAAGATCTGATTATGTAAGTTTAAAATCATCTAATGTGAGTGGTTAATCACCTTTATTTGAACAGTTTTTGTGTGCTAATACATTGATGAAACACCACAGATGCAAGCTGTGGTGCCACTGGAGATATGTTTAATGACATTGATATGTTTTGTTCACAGTGCATTTCTGACCATTTAACAGTCATTATTGGTACATGAAAACTTGTGGGTAAGGGAATATAAGAAGATTTTCCAAAGTGAAATGCACATGCATCGAGATTGTTAAATGACAAAGGATTTTAATATTTCAATGAATGGAGCCTTTACTATTCTTTATGAAGACAAGAACAACAAAAAAACTGAACATATATGAGAGCAATATAGATCAGAAACCAGTCACCAATAGAATCTAGAGTCAAACATTCATCCAGAATGTGAAGGCTGTCATTACAAAAGAAAATTCTCTGACCCGAAAACAAATGCCATTGAAATGAAGCTTTAGATCAATGGTAGTTTTCATAAGAAAGATGGTCAAAGAAACTTGAATCCAATTTGACGACATACCTTTGATGACCTCTGACACAGCTCTAATGACTTTGGGTTACTTAACTCCTTAAACCCAAGCGGACGCTGCCAGTGTCCGGCCAAAAATCCTGATTCCTCAACGGACAGTGACAGCATCCGTAAACATTTATGTCTCTTTGGCTGAAAACTAATCCAAACCATGTTATTATTCACCTTTTATAAATAGACTGGAAATTTTATAAGTTATGGTGATAATTATTAGGATATCATGAAAATAATTCTGGAAGAATGTGCAAAAATTATGGGTTTAAAAGAGTTAAATATGGTCTTGAAACTAACATACATACACAGTAAAGGAAGTTTGTCCAAATGTTATCAGTATTTTTATTAAACTTATTTATTCACTTGTACATGAAACTAGAAAGAACATGTCTCTTCAAGTTTGGAAAGAGTATGGTCAATTAATATTAACTTGTGATCCAAGCAATCAATGTACATAGATCAGAACTAAAAAATGTATATATGTATATGTAGTAATGAGCAGCTGTTTAAGTATAATATTCAAACTATATTAGATATGATGATCAGAATGCATTATTTCATCAGTTGGGTACCCTCACTGTTAACAATATTTTCGGCTCTAATCTCAATATCTTGCTAAGTTTGGCCAGCCCAGGAGGCTTGGGCTAGTCTTAAGTCCCTATACTAAGCTAACGATGGAAAATAATCCTTATGATAAAATAATAAACATAAAATTAAATAGTAATAATTCAAAACAAAAGTAGATGTATTAAATACTCTAACCAACACTGGTAAAAGTTTCACTTCTTTATGGTGATGGCTAAGTATGAACCACCACACTGTGGTAAAAGTTATACTTTGTTTGGCTAGCTTAATGGATTTAGGTTAGTCCTAAATCCATAAACTAACCTACAAATGTTAATTAATGTTTAAAATAATAATGAAAAAATTACAGAACATGTAATGACTAATACTGTTAATGAAAGTAACCTTAAAGAAAAGACCGGCTATAACTAACTTAATATTGTTGTTGAAAAATAAATAATGCTGTCCTTGAAATTGGCTAAAACAACAACTTCACTCCCAGAGTATGTGCAAAACTTGTGTTACAACCACTTGTTCCACCACTAGTGGTGTTCTTTGTAATGGCCAAGATTATGAACTATTGTCTGCAGTCCAAGTGCCACTGCAGGAGATTTTGTGCCGTGCATTTATGTCTGCAGTCAATCACCCTCTTCACGTATTTTCCAACGTCCATTAGCTGTTTGTAGATGATTACTTCTGAGGGCCCCTTTGAAGAACCCAAAGGTACAGAAGGTTATGCGAGATGTCTGTGAATAGTAGATTATGAATTTTTGTTGATACTTGCATCTAGTGAAGGAACTGGCCTTGACTTAAACATGTAACTGGGTCTTTTGTCTTGATGGTTCTATACGATATTAGCCTCCAGTGTATACAAGGATTGTATTTACTTGCAGCGTTATGGTGTCAGCATGTTAGCGATTGTACGCAGAATTCACCATGGCATTTTTATCAGCTCTTCAGATGTTTGACTTATTATTATAGCTGTAACCTGCAACCACTATTAATCCCATAGGTAAGCTTTCACAACATGATGTGTACCATATTTAGAATACTGTTTCACCAGTAGGATAATAATAATTAGTTTGGACTTTAAATAGACATATTCTTCTTCCTTGCTTCCCACATATCTGGGAAACTATGAAAAATTGAAATATCTAATTTTGCTCTCCCATAAATTGCATTTCAGTGCTGTAAAACTGGAAAAATAAGAATAATAAAAATCATAGCAGCTACGAATGAATAATGGTTGAATAAGAAGTGGTGATTCAAATGTTTATTGGCACTTTACCTACCTATATCAATTCGTTATTAGTTTTGATTGAATTGGTAAATAAACACACAGAAAATTGGCTCTTTTTGCAAAAATGAATAAACTTAATTTGTAATAGCTGAACTGAAACAAATATTACAGTTAGTTTGGATCTTTTTTTTTTCAAATTCTGGTTAGATTCAACATTTTTGTGATCTCTCTCTTTGATTTGACTGCATTAGTCAGAGTGGGATAATCCATTTAATTTGTTTTTTTCTCCTTATAGTCAGTACTTGTTTAAATGGAATATTTGTTATTTTTTACTGTATTTCATTATAACATCTTTTAAAATTCTTTTGTAAACATTAACCTCTTGCTGTTTGAAAGAGTAAGAGCAATTAAAAGTTAACCCTCTTACTACAGGTAGGTTAAAGAGTGCATGTCACAATCTTTTAGTTATTTTCAAAATTTTATTAAATAAAATTACTATTACTTATGTCAATGGAACTGACATCAAAATGTAGTTTATAATTGAAATTTTAATATTATATATGTTTTAATTTCTTAATTTAAAAGAAAATATAAAGAAAAAAATGCAAAATATGCATTTTTGATTATGGCTACAGTATAACATGTATAGTGGTTAATGAATTAGAAACTCAAATTTGAGATATGGACAAGCTAGAGTATAAAATAAGAACCTCCCACTTCTTTGATTTGCTGAGATATCAATATATTTAGCAAACCTACAAGAGTGGCTCCTCCCACTATTCTAATCTTTCGAAACCTCTTGTCTTATTGCACCTACTTCTCTTGAATATGTGTTATAACCATTAGAAAGAGTACATTTTATTCTATGTATATTTTATAATCATTTGTAAATAGCTTGAAGGAGAAAGTTATAATTTCACCAAAACTGTTTAAGTGAGAGGACTAAGTCATTGCTCTGAATAAAAAATATTTCTTGCAACTCGCATATAGCTTATTTAGAAATCCAGATAAATTACAGGGATTTTATGTGTACTAATATAGTAAGATGATATTTTTTTGTTTCTAAAATGTATATTTGAAGCCTACAAAAATTACAATTCACCCTCCACCCAGAAGAATAAGCGAGGCTTATGACTAGGCTTAGCATGTATGACACGTGAGCACAAAACAACTTCATTACACTGTAAGTACTCAAAATCATTGTTTTTTATGTATTTTTATTTATTGTTCTACAATTTAAAGAAAATAAATAAAATTTAAGAAGTTATGAGTAATTAGTAATAATATATATATATATATATATATATATATATACACACATGCACATGTAATGCATGGCAGTCAAAATATCTATCTTGCAAAATATTGGTATTATAGTTACATATTTGTACTTTGTAGGCCAATATATATACTTGTGCCTACTGAATTTATGTTATTCTTCTGTCTAAACTGTGATAAAATAAAAGCAAATTATGCAGTATTAGAAACTTGATAAGTTTCAAAAAAGTTTTATTCATTACATTTCAGAAAGGTAGAATATTTTACAAAAGTTGGAGAGATATAGTTGTGCACAAATGTTATACATCTCTAAAAGGAATAATGTATAAAGTTATACAAACTCTGTCATGCAAGAATGTATACAAATTTTGACACATAATAAAAGGAACAACCACAATGAATGGGAAGAACTTTAATAAAACACGTACATAAAGTCTGCACAGAAAAAAACTGTATCGTTGAATGCAAATTTATATAGATATGTATTTTAGTACAAACATTTTAGAGAACTGCAAAAGTGTTACTTGTAATGGCATATATAGAATATGTATATGTGTATGAATAATAAAACTTTGCAAAAATATTTCAGTCAAAAACAATGTAAAAAGAAAACATTGCTGTACACTCAAATACAAACAATCAAAAATGCTACTAAGATATTTGTTAGTTGTTATCCACTCCCAACTTCTGCCAGGACCCAACTTGATACCCAACTTGACAGTTTTCTTTGGTAGATATAAAGAAACCAATTTTACATTTTGTACTTAACATTTGTTCATCTATAGTTAGTTTCATGTTAGGAGTTTCCCACTACGTTCACCTTCTTCTAAAGTCCTTTGTTTCCCACTACTCTCACCTTCTTCTAAAGTCCTTTGTTTCCCACTACAAAGGACTTTAGAAGAAGGTGAGAGTAGTGGG